AGGGGGTGTGAAGGCGAAATCGTGTTCGGCGCCTCTGGGCGCTGCCTGCGTTTGCCAGCCCGCGGCGCTTACGTGCGGGGCGAGATCAAAGCCATGGTCCAGCATCGCCTTCCCGGCGGCAGCTCCCACCAGAGGCACCGGGAAGTCCTCAGGAGATGGTGCCCGGGGGTGGTGCTGCCTCAAGGGCTCTCTTCTGAAGTCGGTCAGGCCACCTTTCCCGTGGCAAGGTGCACGGCACAGCAGGTCTGTAGAAAAAAGTACCTCTCTTTGGTTTTGAACCTGCATCCTGCTAGTTCTGTTTGAAGTCTAACTCTAGAATTTGAAGAGGCACTAGACAAGTCTCCATCAGCCTTTCTTCCTGCCACATCAGTATTTGTAAGTTTTATCCTGTCCCCCTTCAACTGTGTTCCCCAGCCTGGAAGACTGCAAACTGTTGAGTCTTCCCTTATTTAAAGCCATTCTCTATATTCCCTATTTATAGGTCATCACCTTTCCCCGAATATTTCTGAGCTACTGTATTTCTGTATCTTTTTCTGGGATAAGGGTCACTGAGAGGGCAGACACACAGTGCTGAAGCTGCAGGTTGTGTGGGTGTGCTCTGAACCTCCAGTTTTAAAATTTCCAGGCTGCTTACAATGGTTTTATTCTTTTGACTGCTATTTTTAACTGATGATTTGCTTTTCATTTCTGTGTTGTTCCTCTCCCTGAACTAAGCACAACGATAGTGGGTTTCTTGTATTTGTTATTTGAATGCATGTGTTGAGTCCACGTGCCTTACAGTTGCTGTGACAGAGCAGTACTTCTGCAGTAACATTTCATACCAGGCCCTAGGAACTAGTCAGGGTCAGGTGTTAACTTCACCTGTTACATGTTCCTGGACTTCCTAAAAGTGTTCATTAACTCTGGTTAGAAGCAGAGATGTTGCATTGTGCTTCTGTGTGATGTCCACGCTGTCTACATGGGGAGAACTGAAATGTCCTATTAGTAGTCTTGTTTTTCTGTTGGCCCTCATTATATTGCAGGCTTTGTAATATACTTGCCATCCTGCTTAGAAGGATGATGGTTTTTAACACATCATAACTTTTCTATATTGGGATGAAATTTCAAACCACAGAGATTCTGCTTTACTTGTTGACATAGTTGTCATGTTAATTTGTATCATGGGACTAACACATCCCTTTTATAACACATTTAGATAACTTAATTGCAGTTCTGTCCTCTGTGTGTAGTGTTTTTGATCAAGAGGTTTTGGGTTTGACCACCTACTGGGTCATGTTTCATGGTAGCACTCAGTCACAATTTTAAAAAGAGGTAGAACAACCTGCTGTCTGTTTTCCATGGAGAGGTAACTGTAATTGTGAGATCACCTCAATCATTCTGTGGGATTCAGCAGTTATCATGAAATACCTATTTAATGTACTAAAACCATGCCTTCATAATGTTAATACCAAAGACACTTGTAGGACTCATAAATAACACATATTTCTTACCAGTTTTCAAATGCCTGCTTAATTTTATTCAGGATTCCAATTCTTAAAAAAAATTCTCAAGTGTGGATTTTTAAAAAATGCTAGTGTATTATGCTTCTGAAGAAAAAACTTTCCAAATATGAGCCATATGGGGTTCTTTCTCGTGATCTTTCTCGCCCCCCCCCCCGTAATGTAGGCATCCCAGGAAAACAGCTCAGGATCTGTATGTAACATTGTCTGAAATGTTAAAACTGAACTTGGTAATTTCAGCTGTAATATGAACTATTGTAGTACTATTAGACTAAAGTCTTTTAGGCGTTTTGTTAGATTCTAAAAAGAAGTTCATTAATTCCATTACAGTTTCTTTCTTTCAAAGGCTGATCATGTTGGGAATAAGACTTTGAAACTCCTGCCCATGAAACTGAATATTTCCTTTGTCTCAGCTCAGAAGTCTATAAAAGATAACATTTTTCTAGCATTAAAACGTCAACTGAATCTGAAATATCAAAAAAGATATTTTTGAGGGTTTTTGTATGATAGAAGTGACAAATAGCCTCTTATTCAAATAGAATGAATACCCACCTTCCCAACATATGTTCTCTAAGTATGCCTAATGCAATGAAAAGGTAGTATTTTAGTATTCAGATTTCCTTGTTATGGGTGGAATAAATCTCACTGATGGGGGAGAGTTCTCACTTTCGCTCCATTTAAGTTAGTGTAAGCTATTAAATATTTAGGAGGTCTCGTTTCAGACTGAAGTGTGTATATAATCTTTCAAAATACAGGCAATATAGGGATGGAAAGACACAATTTGGAAAGATGACTGTATTTTATTACCTACAGAGAATAATTACAAAGAATAAAGGCTGCATCAGGGCTGAGCTACAATAGGGACTTTCTAGCTGGGCTTTGCAGAAGGAATTAAAGCAACATCTGGAAGGAAATTTCCTGTACCTTTTAACCATGTAATCTTTCACCAGACAGCTTGAAGATTTTCAGTAAGGATCAGCAGGGCTTCTGTTGCATTAATGCTTCACTAGTCCTACTGTGAATTAAACACAGGCTCAAGGGAAGAGTTTTACATACAGTTTGTCTTTAACTTTTTTTAGTATATATGGGAAAAAAAAAATGTCCACGGTCATGCACATATCCCCCCATTATGAAGTCTGGATAATTTGAACTATGAAAGAAGCATAAGAAGTTAAGCCTGAGGAAAAGGAATCTTGCAGGAAAAAATTAGAAGATTATATCTAAAAATGAACGGATATGATGATAGAATAAGAATTTCAAAGATGGGACTTAAAAGAGTCAGAGCTACATTCTGCAAGGAGCCTTTGTGAGTGAATTCTGGGACTAAACAGCAAGTTATCCCCAAGGATAGCTAGGGGAACTTTAACGGGGGAGGATTTAGAGGTCGTGACACTTTCTTCACGTGTCAAACACTGATACAGTAGCCTTGGAAGGTATATCTGGGAAGGATGTGAGAGCAAGGAAACCAGTAACCTCATTGTAAGGTGCCTGCAAATGCTAAACATGTTAATGAACGTATTTTGAAATGTAATTAACAGTAGTGTTATAGTAATATCTTGAGCACTATTTGGAATTTTGAGTTCAGTAAAATTGCATTATTAAAGCAGAAGAATTTTGGAAACTGCAGCTTAATTTGTGGGTACATCTTATGCTGCATTTATAAACTTAAAGAATATGATAAAATCCACTAAGAAAATATTTTGCTTATTTCAGTTCTTTACCAGCAGATCTTAAAAACCAAAGAAAGATGTCTTTTTTCCCAAAAATATCTTTCCAACGTGAAGTTGAAGAGTATCTCACCAAAGTCTTCAGAAATAATGAGGTATGTGAAATAGATACTGCTAATCATCAACAAATATTCATTTATTGAACACTCAATATTCCTTTGATTTAATATTTTGTGTGACTTTAATACCTTACAATAAGGTATTGTCTTCACATTAGACACAGATTTTTATATGTACTTCTATTTAAAATATAAAATTATTCTTTAGGCCTTTTGGCTTAAAGTAACATAGAAATATTTAAACTAAACTTGGCATAATTCTGAGACTTGAATTTTGAATCCCACTGAAAAATGATCACATAGAAAATTAACCACTTATTATGGATGTAATACTGACAAGAAATACTCTGTTACACCAGTGCAGAAGCAAAAATACTACAGACAGTCTGTGAATCCCTAATATCAAAGGACACAAAAATGATGTTTTTGTGTATTTGGATGAGAGTTATTAATTCATAGTTTTGAATCTACTCTCAGGACTGTTCTTTGTACAGTGTCACAGAGCTTGCTAGCTGTTACTTTTGGAACTCACTGCAGCCTGTTGACAATGACCTTGCTAATACGACTGTTTTTTTCAACAAGTCCTTTTCAATAAATTTATGCGATTTTCACTGGAATTAGGCCTCCAGACATAGACATTCCTCACTGTTGCACACCACACAACTGTATTCCTCCATTTCTACAGAATGTTTATTCAGTGCTTTTTTTGCACTGAGCAAGAAGCTTCTGTGTGAATCTCTTTAGTACTTATTTTAAAATCTTTTCTTTCACTTTCAGCTTGTCACTGCTTTAGGTACACAGGAGGTGGAGAGTAGATATCAATCTCTGTTAAGTCATCTATCTCATCCACCAGCTTTCACAACTGTTAGAGTTAATACCCACTTGGCCTCAGTGAAACACGTGAAAAAATTGCTCTTTGGAGAGATCCAGAAGGTTTGTGCAATTTCTTTGTTACAGCAAAAATAACAGGGTATTTAATCTTTTTCCTGATTATGAGTGCTTTTCATTACTGGAAGCTATTCCTTAATTTAATATGTGTCCACTACTATTAATATGATGCAATCATACTGATTTCCTGTCAGCATTAAATGTTAAATGAAAATTCATGGTCTAGCAGTATTCCTCATCTAATACATCCAAGAAAGGCAACAACAGAGAAAAAAGACAAACAGCTCTTTTTTTAAATGGCAGATCCAAACCTTAGATAGGACTGGGGTACTACTGTAGTAAATACTTTACAAGCACCATAAGTCTAGAGAAGATAGTAGAAACACATAAAAAATGCAGTTCAGTATGCTGTGTTCAGCATGTTTAGAATGTTTTTATTTAAGATTAAGGGAGAATGGCTGCATGTCTCATTGCACAAACTGTTTAGGAAAGTGAGAAGATATGTATGTTTTGGAAACAGAAGCCAGAGTGATGCCCTGCAGCTGCTGTATTTTCATTTTTTAACCTGTTTTTAATCTTTATATAACTTTCTGGATTTTTACTTGCCTTAATTAAACATTAATTTATCTGATAGTATGTAAACCATTATGTTAAGTAATGGCCATAAATCTTTACTCTGTCTAAAAAGATCCAGTTCTTTAAGTAAAATATTAATGCTACTGGGTGTACAGGGAGCTATTGCATGACAGGAGCCAAGACATCTCTGTCATGCAGAGGCGGTTGACAGTATTCTGTTGGCTGGAATGGTAATGAGTTATGCTAATTTTAGCTTGATTGTAGAAATCTGGGTATTGCAATATGATATTTTGCTTCAAGGGAAAATGCTTTGCTGAAAACTGAATTAAGACTGGCTTTTCATAAATTTTTTGTATTTTTAATTGTGGTTATATTAGAAAAGGAAACTACATAACACTTTTTAACAAAAGTATGTTCATAGGTTGTTTTCTTTGATAAGAGAAAAAGCTTATTTATCAGTTGCAAACTAATTTATGGTTTTGCATGTTTAGGGTTATGTTTTAGAAGGCTCAGGTGAGAAGGCATTGTCTTTTCAAAGTCCAGGAACAGTTTTTAAATGGCAAGCTGTCATTTTTTCCAACTATATGCACAACTCAACTCCTAGTACCTGAAGTTAAGCTTAAAAGAAAAATATAAAGTATTACCAGCCTGGTGTATTAAATATGACAGGCAATACATGAGTAGAGTTAAATAGTGGTTTATAATTATATAATCAAAATTATAACCCGGGTTAGATTCAAGCTTCTGTAGTGGTGTTACTGTGATCCGATGACAAGTTGACACAAACTTCTTCTAAAAGAAAGCAAAAGCCAGTGGTAGGTTTATGAGTGTCAGAACACTGTCCCACTCCCTGAAGTCCATTCTCAGTGAATCCCTTTGTGACCTTATTATTTCTCAATTTATTAAATGGTTAGTCTTTTACACCAGTATTTTTAATATGGAGTGTCTCCTTACACACTATTTCCAAACCTCTCTTAACTGTTTTCACATTTGTGTTTTTGTAATCTACAGCTATAAAGTATGAATGGAAAAATAGTTTTCAGTCTAAGCGCTTAAATATGAGGGAGTTTTTGGTATTTCCTAATAATTATGTTTTCTAATGAAACAGCAATTTAAAGGACTATGTGTTCCAGTTCTTGAGCATCCGAAACTCCAGGACATCTTATTAATTCCTGTCATTGGACCCAGGTTTGAAATTTTCAGTCTTTAACCTTAAAATGTCATATCACATATTTTACTTAAAAATTTCTTGTTAAACAGTTTTGATAACTAACTCACTGTAAATGAAGCACAACTTCATTTATCTTAAGACCTAGTGCCCAGTCCGTATCCTAACCAGGTCAGAGTTTTAGTCTTTAAAAGATGTAAGAAAACAGAGGGAGTTCTTTCCTTATTTATGAGATTAACTTTTTACAGGGAAAATGTAACATAAGTACCTCCTCTCTGGAAAACCAGGTAGGTGGCAGACAGAAGAACTAAACTTTTGCAGTGGAATATAGAACTAGAGGGTAAAATAGCTAAATACAGGCAGGATTTTTTTCCACTGGAATCAAGTCCACAGCAAGACTTAGGGAGGCTGAATCAATAACGCTGAGAGGATTCCTGAATCCGTTTTATCCCCTACAAAATGGCATATTTATTCTTCATTCTTAAGATCTGTTTGCATGTTTCCCGTGTTGCATCTGTGTCTGCCCCTATAGAGTTTCTTCATTGTTTTACTGAATTCGCCAATGGACATTTTATTTAAAGTACCTTGTCCATAATGAAGTTACCCTACTTAATATTCAGTTTACATCGTGATCGGGTAGAAGCTGGTAACAAGTAGTGCTAGTTTATAAATGCTGTACACTCTAAAATAGCATTTAATGCTTTTATTTTTTCTTCATTCACATTTAATTCTCTTTTGTAGCATTTTTTTCTAACATTCTGTGCTTTTTATATTCAAATATGTTTACACAAATAAGTTCGAGTAACTATCATCTTCGCAGTTCTTACTGGCACAGTTCCATGCACCTGGTTATATATTTATTGTGGAAGTCCTTAGCAGTGCTAAGCACAAAAAAGTCACTTTATATGGCATAGGAAGGGAGAGAGGATTATTTCTCCATCCCAGTATAATTCATTTGTATTCCTGTGTCAGGTTCTTAATGGTGGCAGAATGTATCTGAATCTGCTTTAATTTGAGGACTGGTTTTCTTCTTGGCTCTTTCCTTTGATTTCTCTGGAAGTAAAATAAATATTCTAAATGTAATACATGATAGTTAACTATTTTTTCTCTTATATTGTGAAAAATACACTATTTATTAACAGTATTTGTGCATTTACTTAGGAGTATTTTTTTTCAGTATACTTTTTTTTTTTTTTTTAAAACTGAACTGTATTTTTTATTTTTAGGCGAGATTTAAAAAAACATGCATCTGAAGTCATTGTTGGAGCCCAGTGTGGATATGCAGTACTTCGAGGAGCACACGTTTATGTCCCTGGAATCATATCAACCTCAAGATGTAAGAGTTCTCTAAGTACACCCAGTTAAGTTGTAAAGAGGAAGGAAAAAAATGTCACCCCTTGACGACAGTTTCCAATAAATAGTGACATTTTTTTTTTCCTGTTCACAGCTGAAATTAATCTTATAGTTGTAATTTATGGTAAATACGTTTTTAAAGTTTTTCTGGCTTTTTTGGGAGATTTTCATTATTTTTTCATTGTACTTGTAATAAATTATATGTAATTATTTCTCACCTGGCCTGTTTTAAGTTCCCTTTTCCATATGTAATTCCTAGCTGAAAGTACTAATTCTCAAGGATTTCAGTTTATTGTTTTCTTTTGAAAATCTTTTTAAGGAATGTTTTCCAAGGATAACCTGGCTGTAAGAGTTTTTTACTACTGAATACTGTAAATTTTAACATGGATGTTCAGTAGAATAAACTCACAGAAGTTTGATGCTTTTCAGTCTTATTAAAAAAACAAAACAAAACAAAACACCAAACCTAGAATAAAAGGGATGCCACAATAGATACATCAAGAGCATGGACAGCAGGTCGAGGGAGGTTCTCCTCCCCCTCTACTCTGCCCTGGTGATTCCACATCTGGAGTATTGTGTCCAGTTCTGGGCTCCTCAGTTCAAGAAAGACAGGGATCTTCTGGAGAGAGTCCAGCTCAAAGATGATTAGGGCCCTGGGGCATCTCCCATATGAGGAAAGGCTGAGAGAGCTGGGACTCTTCAGCCTGGAGAAAAGAAGACTGAGAGGGGATCTTATCAATGTCTATAAATACCTGAAGTGCAGGGGCCAAATGGATGGGGCCGTGCTTTTTTTGGTGGTGCCCAGTGACAGGATGAGGGGCAGTGGGCAAGAACTGGAAAACCAAAAGTTCCATACAAAATTAAGGAAAAACCTTCTTTACTGTGCGGGTGATGGAGCACTGGAATAGGCTGGCCAGAGAGGTTGTGGAGTCTCCATCTCTGGAGATGTTCAAAACCTGCCTGGATGTTTTCCTGTGCAACCTGCTGTAGGGAACCTGCTTTGGCAGGGGGGTTGGACTAGATGATCTCCTGAGGTCCCTTCCAACCCCTACGATTCTGTGATTCTGTGATAACTGGATGTATGTTGATTATTTAACAGATACTATTTCCAGAGCTGTTATTTCTTCATGCAGTCACAAAGGCACTTGCCTTCGTCATCCTCTCAGATTCTAAGTTACAAATCTAAAAAAACGGATTTTCTATTTTTTTTAATCCATTGGTGATTCGTTTGATATTGTTTATGTATGAGAGATGTAGTAAAATTATTTTCTCTTGATGAGAAAAATCTTCAATTTTAATGTCAGATTCTTACGAAATGGAAGTTTTTGTTTCAATGGCTATGAGACAAGATAAAAAAATGTACATACACATGCTTACTGTTCAGCATCCTATTTATTTTTTATTTAAAGGTCAAATTAATTTTATGTGAAACCAGTATAATTTTGGATGATTCATCTCATTATTCTATTGTGATGAGATCTACTAATCATTGTGGTTCTTATTATTAAACAAAGTGAGTCAGGAAAGCATTTATCTAGCCACTTAACTTCATCCCCCTTCAAGAAGTTTTAAGCAGGTGCTCAAGTCCAATTCAATGAACAGGAATGTTTTTCAGTCTAGGACGTGACAATGAAATAAGTGTATTGCCGTAGCAGTTGAAACTGCTTATTTAGACAACCTCATAAATATTCAAATCCCTCTCTGAGTCAGCTAGTGATTTATCATAATTGCTGCATGTAATTATGCATGCAACATCAATTCAAAGAAAATAAAAGATACTATAAAACTTTAGGAACACTTCAGGGGGATTGCAGATAGGAAAATAAAATAGTGCAACCCACTTGAGGCCGAATATGATAAGGTTGTATCAAGCACAGATGGTCTAAGTAGGCAAAAAAAGAACACAGCAAGAACAGACATTTAATCACTGAACTTGCAGCCCAAGTGAGAGTAAACTAATTATTGGGGGCTTTGAATTTAATTTAACTAATCAAACTCTAAGCTTTATGTTTATGGAATGCCAATATAAGCTACAAAAAGCTTAAGAAGTGTACACAGTACTAATGCATTTTGAAAGGACGATTGTCAGCAGAGAGTGAAATAACATTTTATGTTTGAATACTGCAAAAAATAATTGTCAAATGTGCTTGATGGAAGAGTTAAATTGCAGCAAGTTTCTGTTCAGTGAAGTTTAAGCGGACAATAACAGTAGGCTATCACATAATGTTTTGTATTACTTTGTGTAAAAAGAAGCTATGCCAAAAAAGAAATGTTTACTGGATACCCAACAAATATTAACATTTAAGAGTTCTGGGGCATTTGTGCATATTCACAAGGCCACTTGGAAATGGAAAAAAAGATTCCTAAATACAAATCAAAGAATTCTTGGGAAGCTGAACTGTCATTAGTCTTACTTGTCATATCATCTGTTTGCTCCAGCCAGTCAGACATGTCAGAAATGTAATTTTGGAAAATTGTTTATTGCTGTTAGTGGAGGCCTTTATGTTTGAGCATATTTTTCAGCCAGTCAGTGCATAGAGCTTGCTCACTATTCTACAAAATCACCTAAACCATCCCCCTTTATCCATCTATTTTTGTTCTAGCTCAGAAAGTTTGTGAAGTCCCTAAGACTACAATTCCAGAGTTTGGTGTATATTTATAAACTTTACTGATCTGGAGGGTTTAAATTGGAGAGGTAAAACTTTTTAGAGGATTATTGAGAACAACGGTTGCCTTAGAGGGAAGACCACCGCACCAGAAAAATTGTTTCAAGAGGAATATATAATCACTTGTGTCAAAAGAATAGTTAGAGAAAAAGCAGCTATAGTTATGTTCTACTTAGCTATTGAGAGGTCATTAGACAAATTTAGTATTGCTGTCTTTGTACAGTAAGTGTGAACCAGTGGTGCTTGATGTACTTGCGTGCTTGGAGCATGCACAGAGGCCTGAATCCTGAAGAGCGTTCTTAAAACTTACGGGTAACCATGCGGTGATAAAATAAATAAAGTGAGGATTTGTCTAGCCTTTTTAAGAAGCAAGACACGGTGTCTCCTTGGTAAGCTTGTGTCTCAATAGCTCTAGTCATTTGGTAGCCGTCATTCAGTATGTACACTTTCAAGCCTAGTATCAGTTAACCTTGTTCTTTGATTACATTGGGAAAGTTTAGATTTTGCTATGATATAGGAGTTGAAGTAATCTACTGAAAATCTTGAATTATTTGGTCACTACTGTCTTGTCAGGTATTCATATTAATCTCAAAATTTCTGTTCTTTATACAGTTATGAAAGCTGGAGATCTGGTCTCAGTGTATTCAGATATTGAAGGGAAATGTAAAAGAGGAGCCAAAGAATTTGAAGGAGTCAAAGTTTTCCTTGGAAATGGGATTTCAGAACTGAGTCGCAGTGAAATCTTTAGTTCAACTGGCCCATCAAAGTAAGTCTGTAGTAACTGCAGTGTACACCTACAACTTTGCAAAGGGAAGGAAGAAGATGGGAGGACATTTTGAAGTGTTCTCTGCCTTATGTGATATCACAAGATGGTTTGTCTGAGATTTGTGTTGCATTTTGGGATTTCCAGTATTTCTTGGGAAGCGTTGTTTCTGGGAATAAAACAGAATTGTGCCTCCTGCTGTCTTCTGTAACTTCACAATTCAGGTAGTGGCAATGTGATGGCCATTGTGATTAAAGTACTTCAGTAAGTATTAGCAGACTCAGCATTTAGTTTCACAGTGGTATCCAGATACTAGTTTACCCGAAAGGTAGGAGGAGACATATGGGAACCTTTTCAGAATTTATGTTTAGTATATGACTTCAATAATATAGAACAAACAGAAGTGACAAACATTCTCACTGTGGCAAAATTGCATCTTGGTAAATTGTTCCTAGCACTTTCCTATTTGGATGGAATAGAAGTGCAGCCTTGTCAATTTCTCCTTCTCCTAAAAATATTTGTAGGGGCTTTTTTTGGTGAGGCAGGGGACAGAACATAAGGTCAAATACCTTAAAAGAAATAATAGCATTTGCCAAGGTAGCTGTCTATTTCAAGACTACTTGCTTTTCTGTTTTGTTGGCAAAGAATATAGTTTGTTTCTCTTCTGTCATCTAAAACACATATAAAAAGCAGTGTAGAAGAGCATGGACATCAAATTAATGACTGACACTTTACATCCCAAGAACAAACTACAAAAGATCTAGTAAAAAAGATTACATTGTCAGAGGATTTCTGATTTATTAGAGCTTAAATAGAGTAGAAGTAGCGGTAGGATATACCTGTTAAGTTGATGACATGCAATGGCAGTATATAACACTAAATCTGGTATCTGCAAGTTCCTTTTCTCAGTGAGTTCTTCTTGTTGGATTGTGCAGTGCATATGCAAAATAATACTCGTTCTTGTTATCTTCAGTAATCTGTTGTTTTCAGGCTCAGTATTGTTTTTTCTTGTTTTCTTTTTATTGTTGTCCATTTCCTTGCACATTTATCTTAACTTAATGAAATCTATGCCAGAACTTCATACATATATATATAAAACTTTTAGGTTGCTTCTAAGTTCAAACCTTTGTTTTGCAGACAAATTTGTTCCTGTAAGGCTTTTGAAATAGAATTTATTTAGTTATTTGACTGAAATCTCAGACAGTCTAGAAAAATGGAGGAAGATCTAAATAGGAAATCATATGCCAGTGTCCTAGTGCATACATGGCTAGCCAAAAGCAGTTATGGATTGAAATTAACATACTTAAATCTGGTTGTATGCATTTCTTTGTGGTGTCAAGGCTTGGATTAGATCTCGGTTTCTCTTCTGTACAAAAAAGATAGATTTGCTTTATGTGATTTTCACAGATAGTTCCAATTTATATTGTAGTACATTTTTTGTTATGGTTTAGCCAGCTTAGTGATGTAATTTTAAAGAATATCAGATTAAAAATTGTAAAAGTATTTTTCTTAGTTGATTTCTAAGTGTTTTCATTTTTGTAAGATTATTGTTTCAAGTTTCTATTTGTAGGAATAACTTCAGTTGAATACTGTTAAAAATTATAAATCTGAGTAGTTAAAATATTTTTTTTTCATATTTTTCAGTGGGATGGGCGTAAGAATGATAGAGCCAGTCTACCTTAGTCCTTCGTTTGACAATGTGCTCCCTAGTCATTTGTTTTTACAGGTATGTTTGTTGCAAAAATAGACGTTTATACTATTTGCAGAATAGTGAATATCCTCTAAGCACACATCAATACTTTATATATTCATTGTGTGTTATGGCACCTAATTCACGCTTTGGTTTTAAAGAAAACAAAGTGTTTAGAATGAAGTCAGTATCTACATGTAGGTGATTTAATCATACTGCATCAAGGGGAAATGGGTTTAAACTGAAAGAGGGGAGGTTTAGATTAGATATTAGGAAGAAGTTCTTCACTGTGAGGCTGGTCAGACACTGGAACAGGTTGCCCAAGGAAGTTGTAGATGCCCCCTCCCTGGAAGTGTTTAAGGACAGGTTGGATGAGTCTTTGAGCAACCTGGTCTAGTGGAAGGTGTCCCTGCTGATGGCAGGGGCATTGGAACTAGATGATCTTTAAGGTCCCTTCCAATCCAAACCATTCTATGATTCTATGATAAGGGACTTCAAAGTGGCTTAAGAGATACTCAAAAACTTAGAAATTCTTTTTGCCCAGATACTCTGCATTGAACTTTTAGTTTTTTTAATCTGCCTATGAAATCTGCAATATCAGCCTCTTTCAGGATACATTCTTCTGTAGATCATCAGGAAAATATCCAAATAGTAGGTTGACTTTAAGTTGAAGAGAAAATCGGTATCTTTTTAACCATAATAAAAAAAATCCATCTGAACAAAATGAAAAATTTTACAGTAGCACAGCTTTCACTACCTCTTACCATAAAACTACACAGCTTCCAAAGAATGAAAAATGTTTGTGTAGTTTTTATTGTAAAATTTAAGAACTTAATTCAAGCTAGCATTTCCTTTTGCATCTTTAATATTTGTGGTGCCTATACTGCTTTTCCCCCACAATAAAACTAATTAAAAGCAATACTCAGACATGACAATTGACTACCTGTGCTATGTTGAAACACAGGATGATGAAATCATGGAACTTTCTAATTTATCATATCAGGTAAAATTCTTTATTTGAGTTTGCTGACATAAAAAGATAAGGTGAACACCTCAATTGGATTTCTAAGACAATTACTGTGCCAGCAACGGTATTGTATTTTTTTATATAAATATGAAGATTTAGCACCAGAGTTTAAAAGAAAATCAAGCTGTACAGCTTTCAAAAAAAAAAAGTTATTTTAATCTTTAAAGCAAATATAAATTTTATCTCAAACTGTTTTTCAGAGATATTCACTGAAATGCTAAGTTATCTCTTCATTTGATTTTTATAACTATCAGGCAGCAAGTTCTTTATTACAGTGAATTGTCTTAGCCATTATTTCTTTCATCAGAAGAGTCAGTCCAACAATTGAGTTATTTTTATAAATATGTTCTGTTTGTAATTGAACTTAATATTTTTAAATCAGTATCAGTGCTGTCTTCTGGTGTGGGCAAAGGGTAGTTTATCAAGCAATATATTGTCTTATGGCCTGCAGTAAAGGAGAGGCCTTTTCTTGCCTTATTCAGCTTATCAGAGTACTTGCTTTCAAGGAACAGAATTGTTAGAGACAGGTTATTTAAGAGACTGGTGCACATGAGAATTTATATTGTATTCAACTTCTCATCCACCAGAATGCCCAGGACTTTCTCTGCAAAGCTGCCTGCCAGGCAGTCAGCCCCAGCCTGTATCGGTGCATGGGGTACTCCAGGTGCAGGAGTTAGCATTTCTGTTTGTTGAGCTTGATGAGATTTCTGTTGCTCCACTTCTCCAGCCTGTCAAGGTCCCTCTGAATGGCAGCCCAACTCTTTCCACTTTTGTATTCTCTGTAAGCTTGTTCAGGGTGCACTCTGTTGTATTATCCAGGTCCCTAAGGAAGAAGTTAGACTTCTTCTGAAAGGCTGAGGGAGCTGGGTCTCTTTAGCTTGGAAAAGAGGAGACTGAGGGGAGACCTAATTAATGTTTACAAATATGTAAAGGGCAAATGTCATGAGGATGGAGCCAGGCTCTTCTCAGTGATGCCCAACGATAGGACAAGGGGCAGTGGGTGTAAGCTGGAACACAGGAGGTTCCGCTTAAACTTGAGAAGAAACTACTTTACAGTGAGGGTGACAGAGCCCTGGAACAGGCTGCCCAGGGAGGTTGTGGAGTCTCCTTCTCTGGAGACATTCAAGACCCGCCTGGATGCCTTCCTGTGTAAAATTGTTTAGGTTCCTGCTCCGGCAGGGGGATTGGACTAGATGATCTTTCGAGGTCCCTTCCAATCCCTGACATTCTGTGATAGACAACAGCGTCCACCCCTCGGGGTACACCGCTATTGACTGGCCTTCAGCTGGACTTCATTCCACTGGTCACTACCCTTTGAGTCCAGCTTTTCAACATTAATTTGCCATGTCTGAGATGAGTTACTGATTTTTATTTTTTTTTTAACACTGTGGCATGGAACTTGAAACTGTGCTAACCAAAGACAACATGTAGTAAAGACAACTTTAAAAGGTTTTTATACCTTTGTGTTGAACCAAGTTAGAAGAGAATCTTTCAGAATATTTCCATATTGTCTAAGATGCAGTACTGTGCACAGTTATTGCCTATTATTTCTCTTCAGTGCATCTGTTCTGGGTATGCAATTAATAGCGCAGTTCATCTTCCTAATTCAGCACGTTTAAACTCCTGCCTATTGATCGTTGTCATTCCTTGATACGGGACATAAGGTTTGAATTCTCCCATATTTGTTTTTATGATAGAACTTACCTTCTGTGGTTGTGAGCCATATTTTAAACCCTCAACCAGGAGAGAGAATTTTGGATATGTGTGCTGCACCTGGAGGAAAAACAACTCATGTTGCAACATTAATGCATGACCAGGTAAGAGAAGTCACTGAGCATTTTCTGTCTCAGTAAAGAAAGTTTAATCTAACTGTTCATTTGCAAAGCTCACTTCACTTAGCTGTCAGAATTCACAGATAATTTACAACAACAAACAATATTTGAACGTTCTGCTTACACAGATTGCTAAACATCAGAGTTACTGAAATGGGCACAGACTATCTTTATCAAATAGTCACCATCACATTTAAAACCTCATTTGCTGCAAATTGACCTGTTGAAATATGTTTGATTTAACTTTTTAAATGTTACTGATTTATAATGGAAGAATTTGTAACATGCAAAGTTAAGGAGGAATATGCTGGATTCATGAAATGAGAATATATGGAAATTAGGGGTTACTACTGTGTGCCAAAAGAATGCATAACTTTGTACAAAAACATGTTAAAAAGTTCCTAATATAATTAACTTTCTTCTCAGTAAAAAAATTATCAATTATGCAGTACAGATATGATTTTAGACTAAATTTCTAGTCTGAATTTGTCATTCTAAGGTAGAAGGTCAACAAAACCAAAAATATCTCATGAGAGTAACAATATGAGAAGAAACAAAAAAAAAATATTTAGAGGAAGACAAAGGAAAATAACGCACAAGCCAAAAAGGAATGAAAGACAGGAGTGTAGCTTACTCTTTTCTAGCTTAGAGGGGAAAAATGTGTAATGTTTCCTCTAAAAATTTTGCAAGGCCTTATTATTTTTGTTGGAATAGGCTTATTAGAATACATCAGATTATTTAGAAATCTTGGAGTTGTCTCTACATTAATGGGAAGGTGCAGTGGGTAATGATGGGAGTGTATTTAGAAAAGACAGGTAGTTAGCTCTGTGGTGGTTTGCTTATTGAAGTGTTTGTTCCCTCAGTGTGGGAAGTTTGCAAACATGCATTAGACATTTATTAGATAGCTTTATAGAGCTTCCAGTAAAGAATTTCAGTGTGATAAGTAAAGTATGGAAAAACATATATTTGTTATGCATTTATTTACATCTATATTTTTTCCATCTAAGTATGTACATTTTGTCTAACTTTGCTGTGATGGGTTGACCCTGGCTGGATACCAGATGCCCGCCAAAGCCCACTCTATTGCTCCCCTCCTCGTCTGGGCAGGGGGAGAAAAATATAACAAAAG